GTAAGCACGAGAGCAGAAATTCTGTTTTTAAAATAATAGACTACATGATAGGAAATAAATGTGTATATAGATAATAAAATAACTGGTTGATAAGACTAGCGAATTTTTATTAATTTCATCTTTATACTGCTTGTTGTCAAGGCTGCTATGGTTATAAGTGACAGAGACCCAAATCAACTAGTTTAGCAAAACAATGGGACTATTGACACATATAACTAAGGAGTCCAGAGATAGTTGTAACTTTCAGACATGGCTAGATACAGAGGTTCAAATGTCTTCTTTCTATCTATCTATCTAGCCATCTATCTACCTATCATCTATCATTTTCTACTTCCCTCTATATTTCTCTCATTTGTACAAACAGCCTTTTCCTTAAGGCCAGGGAAGACAGCCAAGAGTAGATAAAATAAGTCTCTCAATTTGCTTTATCAGCAATGTCTGGGGGAATACTCTGGTCCAATTTGGATCACAAGCACATGCCTGGGAGGGGAGGAGGGAAGCCAGGTGATTAACAACCCTTCCAGGATGGTGGTCTAAGGTGGGGAGTGGGGGGCAGAGTAAGACAGTAGGAGATGTAGTTCACCTAAAGAGCCAGAAGAGAGAAGGGAAAAGGCGGTAGACAGACAAAAACCATAGCTACAATTTCCACCCTATGCCATAGATTTATAGTATATTTCTAATGAACCTAAACATAGATAACTATGTATCAAAAACTTTTTAAGGTATATATTGGAAAAAAACATAAAAATCAATTATAATAGGTTTAAAGAAAGTAGTGTTTTATGAGTCAAAGAATTTTTTTTTAATCTAATAGAGGTTTGGCTAAACAACTATTCTTGCAATGGTTTTGCATTTTTTATATAGAAATTTATTAGAGAGAAGACAGATTTAAAACAGTATGTATTTATAAAGCAGTATATAAACACTAAGTCTCTATCTTTGTTTTATAATGTATTTTCTTACCTGCTTACATAGATACATATGCATTTAAAAGGTAAGGAAATAAATGCAACAAAATGTTACCAGGGGTTATTTCAGGCTGGAAAGAGATGGATAAAGATTTTTAAAAGTTTAGCCTATTTATATTTTTAAATTTTCCTATCTATATATAAAACAAAACTTAAATGTGATATAATTTAAAGTTTTATGCATTAAACATTACTGGCAAGAAACCCAGTCGGTTTCACAGTGGTGGCAACAGCCATGTGTCAGCCCCACCAGCTTACCTAATTAACTTATACTAAATGAATTGGTCAGTAGGAAAACTTTGGCCAAAAATCTCAATGGATTGCATGGACCTGCAGAAGATGTTTAGATATCAAGTGTTGGTAATGTTTCGCAATGTGTGGATCTTTGGAATAGTTCAGAAGCTGCCATCTAGGATAAGTCTATCATCTATAACAACTCTGGCCAGTGAATTGAGGCAGACCTGACTGATTTCTAAGGCTCATGTGGCATCACCGATCATTTTAGCTAAACTTAGGGATAAACTTCCTACCACCTTTTCTAATTGATTGACACACCATCAAGATTATCACTCACAGAGCACACATAAATGAATTAGTTGTCCCTCTGAGGAGTTCTTCCAAGTAACTAAGGATGGTCCTGTCTCAGAGGGAGTTCCATCATCATCTGAGTCTCTTATGACCACACCTGGGGTACAAATTACCGTAATCTTGAAAGCAGAAAAATATTAATGCATGGCTTCCACACAAGAAGTACAGTCCTGGGGTAAGCAGGATGTCCCCTGAAAGAAAAGTGTTGATTACAATTGTTCAGGCTACCTGTGGGACCAGCATAAGTCTGAGAACACAGCTATACGGCATGGTGAAGAAGTACCTTTTCCTGACACCTGGGGGAATTTATAACAACCAGAACATTGTTTAGGCATCTGTCTTTAAACCTACTCTCTGGTATTCATCCTGACACCCTCCTACTCAGTTTCTTCTCATTAACAGGCAGTACAGTGCAGAGCCATTTAATTCCCAGTTGACCATACAATCTGGTCAATATGTTTGCTACCAGCTCCCATGGACTTTCCTCAAATTCTGTTGGTTGACAAGGCTTTCATCTTCCCTTTTTCAGAAAGCTCTGTCTCTCTCAGCATCCTAGCTTCCTCACCAACCACTGTCAAGAAATGTAAAGGATCTGAGATTTTAACCTATGTGCAAATGAACAAGCCAACCACAGTTTCACAGATGCTTGTATAAGACACAAAACTACTATGTTAAAGACAAAGGATAATTTATTATTCATGACAATAGCAGCGACCAGAGTATCAGTATTATTTTTTGTGCTACTGCCCCGAACCCTAATTCTTACAAGCCATGAGACAGAGACCCAGATGATATCTACACTTGCAGCGATTACATTAAAGGAGAAGAACCCTGAATTTAGGGAATCTGAACCTTTTACAGGGGGTAGTAAGCATGCCCATCCTTTGCTCCAGAGGGAGAAATTTTCTCTGTCTTCCAAAGCTGTTCACTATACAAACATCTTTAAATAAATTGTTTGAAACAAAGGGCATTCAGTACCTCTGCTTTCAAGATATTCAGAGACCCAGAGAGAGCTGTTTCCCAACAGAAATCCATAGTTACTTAGTAGAAATTACTAGAAGCCACCAACTTCTAATTCATATTTTGCATGAGTTACTATAATCAGCTGCATATAACAAAACCTGACTACAGTGATTTAACCAAATGTTGTTTGTTTTTGTTTGTTTTTTTCCCCTGCATGTAACCAGAAGTCCAGAGGTGGACAGTCATGTCTGGTACAAAAATAAATGAGGTCTTCAAGGCCCCAGGTCCCTATTCTGCTCTACCATCCTCATCAACTGGCTTTCCATCTGATGATCCCAACACGTATACTCTACCTCCATTTGTATGGTTCTGGTGCTTGGATTATCAGATATGAAGGAAAGTTTCAAAAATTGAGATATAAAAGAAGAAAAATTAAGATAAATATGTAGAGTGATTAGGAAACATTAGCAAGTAGGTTTTCCCAGATATACTGTGAGTGTAGAATTTTACTAGAAAATTTGTGCAAGTAGATGGATCGGATCAAAGTAATACTTTGTTTTGTGGGTCATGGGCAAAGTGTTAATGAATCAACAAGATAACAACAATAACTTCAAAGATTTAATGTGACTAACTAGTTTAGTAGATAATATATAACTCAAAATACATTTTTAATGAAAATGAGTGATTTCAAATTTTATTACACAAATGCACAGTTCAAGTAGCACTATAATCTTTCATTGTTTTGGTACTACTGTCCAGATTTATGCATTACTGCTTATAGTACTGTGTAAAAATAGGCACCATGCTTCCAAGGAGATCAGAATTCAGCTTGAGGCCGTTTCAGTTTGTGACAACACCCTAGTGTTAGTCACTGTATGTCTCTACCTTCTGTATTACTTTATTGAACTACTACAGAGAATTTAACACCAAGAAATCCAAATATCCTTAGAGTAGAAAAAAATTTATATAAAAAATTATTTTACAGCAACCAAAAATTAAACTATCTGCTACAGTTGGTAGCTGAGTTTAATTTTCAGTATAAGCTGAGGCAATTGGTTTCTAAATAGTCACATGTCTAAATAATCCACTTATGTTTAATAGATCATTTCACTGAATAATCTCAAAGCACTAAACATCTTCAGGTTTGAAAAAACAATTCCATGTAGACAGAGCGGGAACTAAAGAAAAATAGTTTTAAGAATAAAGACCATCCTCAATTATGCATTCTATGAGTTGTCCATGTACTCAATTTGTTTCCTTCTACAGATTATTGTCCAAAATTTCCTTTTTTTTAATGGTAAGAAGGTTTGATAGAGACAAGTTTGAATACAGAAATGAACTTATCATTGGGTTTCAATAACTGATTTTAGGTTTAGCTTCGATGACCTAAAGTTCACTACAGATGTTTAGGCACATAATTCTCATGGCCAGCTCTTATTATTGGACAGAACTCCTTTTCCAATACCAGTTTCTAAGGGTAAAATACTCTGCTTCTGTTGGTTTAAAATTATTAACTAATAAGTAACAAGTTCCTCAACCAATCAAAATATATGTCCAGGCTCTTCTCACATGTTCAAGGCTAGGTGCTGTTGATGCTAACAATAATAATCACTAACATTGTAACAATAATCATAATAATCCTTTATGTTCATATAGTTTCTTATTTTAAAACTATTCCATATTAATTCTCTTATTTGTCTCAATAGTCATGTGAGGAATTACTCTCCAAGTAATACTGCCCCATTTTACAGACAAGGCAATTCAGAGTATCAAGTGACTTGCTCCAAGTCACAGGTATAGATACAATTATGTGCAAGACAGACATGGTCCTTCTTCTCATAACACTGTTCTAGTAAGAAGTTCAGAGAAGTGGGCAACTCTACCATGGCGAGTGTTGAGCTAGAGGAGAACAAGTCACAATCACCAAGTGAGGGGCAGAAAAACAGACTTCGGGGTGGGGAGGGAGTAAAGTCAGGGAAGTCTTCCTGAAGTAAAGTCTCATTTCAGGCTTCACTATGTGAGCTCTGAGAAGAATATTACTTTCTTTTGAATTAACTTATTCTGTTCTCAGAATCTACCAAGCTGGTTTTGGACTCAACACCATGTAATTAACTTTAACTTTAAGCCAATGTTTCTCACACTATGGTTTCTGTACCAACTGCATCAGTTACCTGGGGTGCTTATTACAAGTATAGACTTGGGTATAGGGGGAGGGGGCCTACCATGGGCTTACTGTTTCTAAATTCTTGGGGGTGAGGCCTAGGAAAATTGCTGCTTTAAGTATGAATTACTTGGAGATTTTGGAGTCAAATAGCAAAATAAAGAGGATATTTTTGGTAGTGGCTCCAAATGGTTCCTTTTTTCTCTCTCTCTCTCTTTGGATGGGGGTGTGGGAGAGTGGGTATTTGGGGAAAATTGTAAAGGGTATAGCGGGATTAGAGTTCCACGTTGCAGACTGTCAGTCCCCCACCTCTCTCTCACCTGCAAGGTGGCTGGCTTGAGTAGGTGCTTTGTAAGTGTATGCCAACTTGTTTAACACAGGGACATAGGTATTCATAACTTTCAAGAGTTTTAAAAATCCTTTCTTAGCTTTCTGCTCCAATCTTCCAGTGCCTTGCCAGCAGAAGCAGTAATAATGGAGTAGCTAAGGTGTATTGGTTTTGGAGAAAGACTGAATTCAAGCCCCAGACCATCAACATTTGAGAGGACCAAGTTCCCTAAACTGCCCCCATTTATAAAGGACTAGAAATAATACTTACCTCCTAGTGTTGTTGGGAGTCTCAAATGAGATAACAGGTTATCTATTATAATTAGGTATCAATGAAATACATCATAAATGCAAATGCTTAGAGCCCTCTCTAACACATAAATGCGTTCCATAAATGCTCTTTCAAACCCAGGCAGCGCACTCTATTCCTTCACGTCTGTAATAGGTCCCTTTAATAGGTTAGAACCTCAGAGCAATTATCAGCAAAAAAATGAAAAACTAAATGAAATCCGAGACGACCCGGTACAGGGGCTGTGGAGTGCAGCCCAGCGGGTTCGAGAAGGCCAAAGTGGTGCGAGAGTGGTCTCTCCCCGCCCGGCTCGCAGCACGTGGTCCGCCCGGGCGGGAGCTTCGCGACAGTGGGGGAGGGGAGCGGCGTGGGATGTCGCGGAGGGGGTCTAGGCGGCCGGGGCTACGGTTGGGGAGGCGCTGACTGCGCAAGCTCGGGATAGGCGCAACCACTGTGCCAAGATCCGAAGGGGACAGCGTTCACCCGGCTTCACGCTTTCTTTATCTATTTGCGCAGTGAAAGCCTGTTTTCTCAAATAACCGTTTTACGACTGTATTTGGAGCCGCACTCTGCAAGTTGTTCATCATTAGAAGGCCTCCTATCTCAGGACTGAAGAGGCCTCTTTCTCTAGTCCTGCCCCCTCCTCCCCCGTGGAGTCACAGTGGACGCGTCCCACCTCCCCTCAGCCTCGGGAGGTGGTTTGGCTGCTCGCCCCCCCTCCCCAGTGTCGCGAGTTGGCGCCGCAGCCAGCTCCCGGTCCGCGTTCTCGGCCCCTCGGCCGGGCGGTACCGAGCCCTCCCGGCGCCCCCTCCTCTCCTACCTCGGGCCTGCCCTTCCCCGTGGGACTGCCACCCCCCACCTTCCCCTCAGCACTTTTCTCTCCCCGCCGAACCGCGGCGGCAGCAACAGCAGCAGCAGCAGCAGCAGCAGCAGCAGCAGGAGGAGGAGCCGGAGCCCGGAGGCGGCCGTGGCCGGGAAGCCCATGGCGTACAGTCAGGGAGGCGGCAAGAAGAAAGTCTGCTACTACTACGATGGTAAGAGGCTGGGCCGGCGTGAGAGTGGGCGGGCAGCGGCGCCGGGCCCGGAGCTTCACCGGGCTCCGCGGCCGCCGTCGCGAGTGGTCTCTGGTGCTTGAGGGATCAGGAGGAGGGACCGACGTTTGGCCGCATCTTAACTCATTCCCGACCCGACGCCGTCGGGGAGCCTCTGAGGCGGGAGCCAAGTGGATGCCTTGTTTTCCCTCCTGCCCCTCTCCCTCCGGCAGTGCGGTCCGCTGCCGGCCTACCCCGGCTTCGAGCTGGTGCGAAGGAAACGACCCTCCCTCGTGCTTCTCCCGCCCCTCTCCCGCCCGCCCCTTGTGGGAGCCAAGGTTTGGGGGTGCCCTGCTCTGGTCTCCTGCACCCAATCCCTCCCCCCAGGCCCAGACGCTACCCTGGCCCAGAATGCACACAAAGCCCCGCGGCCACGGGAGCTCCGCCCCTCCAGCCTGCATCCCTCCCCTCTCCTCCCCTCCACTCCGTCCCTACCAGGCCCGAGCGTCTTCTCTTTTCTACGCCGCCGACATCACCCCGGACCCCTTGATCCGGGTGGGTGCTGGAGAGTAGCCCCTGAGGGTGGGGGCCCATGTCCGTCGTAGGACACGCTCACACCGCTGTTTTGCGTGGACTCCATCCTTCTCCTTTGTTCGCCGGGTTCTTTGAGCGCCACTTTCTCAGCATTCAAATGAAAAGGCTTCACTTCCTCAATAAAATTGAGGGTTTTCGAGTTTGAGGTAGTCTCTCTTCGCGGGAAATAAGACGGTGGTCGGGCAGCGTTGCTGCTTGTGTTGTAGATCAGGCTCGATGGGTCCTGGCTTGCCTCTGTGAGGGGTGGTTACCACCCACTTCTTTGTTGCTCTTTGTTCGATCAGGAAATACACCCTGCTTTGGAGGTGTAGGACGGACAGCATTGGCATCTTGCTTGCGAAAGCTGTTTCTAGGTGGTGGGAGTCCTGGTGTAGGAAAACATTGAGGAGTAGTGCAGAAAATACTAAATAATCAGGTAAGCTTGAGCTCATGGTACAGTAAACTATAAAAGTTGGAAATTTTTATTTTAGGGGTTCTTGCCATTTGCAGTTTGAGCAGTAACATTAAGTCTTTTTGAATTCTGTTTCCTGCGCCAGCCTAAATTGCGCTAAACGAAGTAGTAACCTGTTTTACAGATTTCACAAAAATATTAACTTGATGAATAGTCTCTAGTAGGTTACTCTCCAGAGAAGAAATTCTGAAATTTAACAAAGAAGCTAGGTTCCATGATCTGAAAGTCCATTCTGATTTGTGTAATTTGGAAGCTGTTTCCTACATTAGGTGTATTATAAATCACAAAATCTTAGAGCAGTGGAAAGATCTTACAGGACTAGGTCAGAATAAATCTGACTTTAATTTTAAAATGGCCATACCATCTCTCTTCCGTTAGCAAGGATAAGTCATTTTAATGCCTTTTATATAAAATAACTACCTGTGCTTACAAAAGAAGTTAAATTGTTTGGTATTTGGTAGCTAAGTGCTAAACAGTAACAGCCATGTTTTAAAAATATTTTTTGAGAGGACCACGTATATGTGTAATGCAAATTGTTTTGAAATTATGCCATCATGGAGAGATGGAGATGGGTATACATTTTAATTTTGACATGAATCATTGAAGTTTCTTAAGGTTTATTCTTTAAGAATCCATGTTTATTTTGGGTCACTGGCCTTGCCTTGCATTTCCTAATCAAGTTGGAAAGTAAATAACCGTGTCGGTTAAATTTTTTAAATAATATTCTTTCTAAGGTTTAGAGATTTGCTCTTGTCAGGGCTTGGGGTAAAGGAGAAAGATTCAAAAGGTTGGGGTAACTTACGCTAAGACTCCCGCAGCTGTTAGTTACTGTTGGCAGTGATAGTCGCTGATGAAGTAAGCTTCTTGAAACTTCTTGTCACCAGGCTTGAACTGTAGAACCTGGACGTACAGTTAAGTAGCAGTTTTATGAACAGCTGTTTGTTCCTGGGCCCATTTATCATGATCCTTTGTTGAGGGAATGAGAGCAAGCAGTGGTCTTAAAGGCAGGATGCTGACTTGATAGGAAAGGTAGTCTTGGAATTGTGACTGTCAATACTTTATAGTGTGGGCCATTCAACTGCTTTGTCTGATGGTCTTCAACAGGTGTATAACTGAATGTTTGGATATCTCTGGTTAGGTTATCTGTCTTTTGTTGTGAATCTTCCTTAACTTATTTTTGAAATGGAGTTTATTGCTTACTTTTGGAATGTGCATTGAGTTCTTTGGGAGTGGCAAGTAAAATATTTTGCAAAGGTTATTAAATTAAATAGGTATATTATGCTAATTCTTTGTATATGATTAGTATGTTAAGCTGTGCAGTTAATTCCAAAGCTTACATTTTTATCACCACAAAACCCCCTTTTTTTTAAGCTTAAAAAGATAGCAGTAGTAGTTTTTTTAATTGTGAAGAAAGAGGATGCTGATAAAGCAGCTTGTGCATCAATGAATTGTCTAAGATACACAACATGGATTGGATTGGGAGTGAGTAATGTCAGTAGTAACAGGGGCATAATAATCTGTTAGCCTAAACTAGCTGGTTTTAACTTGTTAGTAAAGGAAGTAGAAGGAATAAAGATATAGAGGAAAGGAGTGAAGTAGCACATTCTATAACCATAGGAATCCTACCTCTATGCTTACTGTGACCATTAGGCGTACTCTTGGTGATATAGAGAGTCCAGCAAATGAAAGGGACTTCTAAAGACATGTACTTTTCTCTGTACGTGGTACAGTCCTCAGTATCATACCATTTGTTTAGATGACTGGAATGATGGTTCCAAGTGAATCTTCAGGCATTGATAGATGAGGTATCCTTAAACTTGGGAGGAAAAGTAAAAGAAGCTCTTCTCTTGTTGCAGCTATTGACTCATGACTCATTTCCATAAAGGTATATCTAAATTTTAATCATCTAGTATATACTGCAAGGTTATTAATAATCTGTAAAATGATATAGTTAGTCACTGAGATCCTTTCTGGCTTTAAAATGATGTGATTTCTGTATTTAAATGTAAATAGCAAACCAGGCTATGTTAGGCTCTAATTACAATATTCATATTTTTAATACTTTATCTAGAAATGTTAACTATACTTTGTTAATTTTTAAATTAAGATTGAGGCCAATCACATTTAGTGTCTGTTTTACTGTGTATACAATATAATAAAGTTGTATATGTACATAATTTATATAATTATATACATTGCTCTGTGCTCTACTTTTTCCTCCTCTGATAGGATACATCAGAATGTTTGGAGAGAGAAAAGCACTCAACTGTACAAAGAGACTATAACAGTTACCAAGATCGTGTCATCCAGTATACTTCTAGTTTACTGTAGCACATTATAAGAATTCTACTTGACAGCCAACTATTGACAGATTTTCTTAGACTTTATAACAGTGGTGCCAAAGTCTTTTGCTAGGTAGCCTTTAATATAACTGTATGGGTTCTTAGCTATAGTATAAATCATTATTATCCATAAAATAGGTAATCGTTTCTTTGGGAACAAATCAGGGTGCCAAATGAATTACACCAGTGGTTTATAAGTATCATTAGTTTTAATTGCACATCATTAATTTAAAAATAGTAGAACATAAGAATGAGATTTTCATATAGTTGGATCCTCTTACCCCAGATATTTTTACCATTTACGTCAAGTTTCACCTTATCAGAGAACCTTTGCCCTGTTACCCCATTATATTTTTTCTCCTTATCAATTGTAGCACCTAACTTTTGTCTCTCTCCCCACAGGAATATAAACTTCATAAGGATAGAGTATGTTTTGCTGATGTCTATACCTCTGCCATCCTATATAAAAGTAAATAAATAAATATTCTTGCATTATTGATGAATAAATGATTAACATGTTATATTTTTATAAATAAAACACTTTCACGTAATAATCTGTCTAATTCTTACAGCCACTCTGAGTTACAGACAGGCAGGATGAATGGCATCTTGTTCCCCATGAAAATAGATTTGTATATTTGACTCAGTCCACTACTTAACCCTTTTCTACAGTGTCTAGTTTTAATGTCCAAGAAGAAGTCAACAACCGGTACCTAAAAGATTTTTCTATTTTCCTTTGTTGACATAAAAGTAAAACTATTTCAACTGCTTCCAAAAAAGAAGTTTCTCTGCTACCAAATAAAAAAGGTTAGTAGTAATTATTTCTTTCCTTTGAAAAACCCTTAAAGGAAACAGTTGGAATTGGGGAGAAGGGTTAGTAATCTCTTAGGGAATAATAATAGCATTCAAACATGGATGAGATCAAATTTAAAAGAATGAAGTCAACTTTGGATTCAGGAATATCATATGGTCTTAAAGTCCCTATTATGTGCCAAGTAGACAAAAAATTAAAAATCCTAAGAAGGAAATAAAAGACAACGTTAGATAGTAGGAGAGGGGACCTTTGTGGGGTAATTAGACAGGGAAAGGCCAGAAGAAGAGAATGGGCCAGCCTCCTTAGGAGTTTTCCTACATCTTAAGACATTGAAAACTGTTAAGACACTTAACAGAGAGGAGGCCGAGAGGAGGGAACCATAGCATAAGCTGCCAGCCTGGGTAGTAAAGGGCCTGAACATAC